CATCGGCAGGAATCGGACCTGTAGAGGCTGGGGTTTCTCCTTATCTTAACACCTCAAGGGAGTCTTCACGTGTTTATGTGTAATTTGAGTGCCAACGCGGATCGAAATGGCTCTACAATTTTCGAAGCGAGTGGTATGCGCGGCGCATTCCACTGTTAAGGTTTCATCTGTACCCAGCCGACTACGAAAGAGTATTGCCAGGGAGAGAGAGAGAACAAGGTAAAAAAAAACCGACCGTACTGTCCTACTGCACCTCCATCCATATATTCCAAACAGATGTACAAAATCTGCGAATCCATATAAGCTCCAAGAAGGTCGGTTACGTACTCACAAGAGGAACACTGCAAAGCGAGTGAATGAAGAGTGTTATGGGGTGGGGGAGGGGTTCGCACGGGCTCGACTAAAATCCCCAGCAATGGTGTGCCCTGCATTTCACCTTTATCCACAATGATTTCACTTCCAACATATTGTAAAAAATGCGACAATACATGCTAAAGGCACGTCGTATGTCAGGGATCCCCAGCAAGAGAGGTCGCAAGTGCGTTTAGGTATTGGTCCGGTTGGTGACTTATTCTTTGTTTCCCCCGTTTAACGAAAGCTATGTATACCCTACTCTCCCCCACTCCCGTCTACGGTAGTTTTATGAGGGGGAACTAGAGACTTTCTTCGGAAAAATGGCATAGAACTGGGAAACATAGGAAGATGGTTTTCAGGGTGGGGGGGGGGAGTGGAGATGAGGAATTGGGGGTTGGTGTGCTGAAGGAGGGACTCTTGGGAACGGGTCAAATTTTGCAGCAATCCTACTATATAATCTGCTATGTATGTCTGTGTGTGTGCGTTCGTGTGTGTGTAACGTAATTCATAGCGTAATTTATAGATGGGTACGGCGCGGCGCCAAACACGTTTGCCCCCTGTTGTCAGATCGAGCAAGCGACAAGGCTGTATCATATCCTTCGCGTCAGTCGATTCCCACCAACTGTTGTAGCTTAGCCGCTTCAACAACTGCTAGAGAGTGAGCTGGTGGCATGCTGAATTCAGCCTCACGGACACGCCCCACTATCCGCAGCGAACAAAAATTTTTTTATAGATCCGGAAAGAAACAGGGGACCCACCAATAATCCGCATTGGTCTACTTTAATTTACTTCTAACTATAAAAAAGACGACACACAGTAACAAACCTTTTTGATAAGAGCTAATTCACTTATGGCACTATCACGTTGTTCCTCATAACTATCCAGAGAAACGCATTTCACAGCAAGGACACGATCAGATGGTATATGTATGCTCCTACAAAGTTATACTAAATAAAAAGAAAGGAATAGTATGGCAATGTTTGTGTGCAAGCTTGCCTGTAAACACTGCCGAACTGTCCTTGTGAGATGAGGTTCAAATGTTTCAAATCCGACGGAATGATCGCCGGTATATCGTCAAGAATCGCAGGCGAAGATCTTACTGAAAACTGAAATGACTTTCTATTGAGGTTGCGTTCATGTTTGACAACGGGAGAATAGGAAAAGTTGCGACTCCATTAGAATGCGGGCTCATTTGAATATGGTCGCCAGTGATTCGAGTTTCTGGAGAAAATGCGTTCACCCGAACCTCCGGATCGTCGATTCTAACATTTCTCCCACATCGTTAGCGACCGGACCCCATCGATGTCCATCCCCATCGTGATTAGTATGAACACGGCCTAACTGATAGAAAAGATGAAACTTCCAGAACACTTTGTGAGACACCACACGATCGGCTTTCGATTAATCTCACAAGGAAAGGATGGCTGGTCGAAGTGGCCATTCGAAATGAGACGTATACTGCCCGATGGGCCCTTGGACGCTGATTACAAATCTGCCCTCCATATTCTAAACGATTTACGCTGGACAAAGTTATGCAGGATTTTTAACTAGGTTACACCCATTTCCAGCATGTATAGGAGGTGCTCCAGATTGCCCAAATTGGCTGGAATCTGAAACTAGAGGTGGTTCAGTGCC